GTACTTTTTAGACACTATAACTATAACTATATATAACTATAATATTATTATTGTTGTTGTTGTTGTGTTCTGGGAAAGAGATGATACAATTTATTTGATGTTTATTTAATATTACATTTAAACATGAACTACAGAAGATAACCTCATGACTATGTTTAATGTATAAACATATGTATGTATAATCTGCTAATATAATGTGGAATGTGTGAATGAATTTATATATAGGTGAGTGTGCCATGATGGTATTCTCAATAGCTACGTTTGTATTTACCAAATGTAATATTTGGGATAACACTTTCTTCGTGAAGTACAGATTCTTGTACTGTTGTGGGTTGAGTCCCATCCGGAGTTCGAACCCACACTGCCAGGTAATCGCCAGCACACAAAGTCAGCGATCTAACCCACTCAACCACCGAGGCTTCCACAACATGAAAGTCTGACAACTAGTAGTCCTAGGAGTCTAGATCACGTTCTTTGTGTACCCCTCTGACAAGTGTAAATTGGCACGGACCCCATGGCCGAAAACTATGAATACACAATGACATTTTGTAAGTGGTCAAATGTAACAAATATTTAAATCCAAAATGGCATTGTGTAGCCACACGTTCGTATTGACCATGAGCTGAGATACACCAGCAGGTGACTTCCCTTGATGATGCAGTGAACAATTTTATAACTGAATGTAGTTTGTTTGTTTTTGAGGCTGCACTCGTGAATGTTACAGCTATATTCGAGTATTGCCAAAGACACATAAGTGATTAGGATTTACGTCGTTGGAATACGATGAACGCTATACAACGCTAATATTCCCACTTAAGAGCAGTGTTGGTTAAAGGCTTAATCAGCTATGACTTCCCCGTTGCTCAACATGGCCTACTTCGGGAGAGCGCATGGATTAGTGATCACACAGATTAGGCAATCTGGGCTCACCAGTAATTAGACAATGTTGGTATTAATTGGTTTAGACAATGTGGGAATTAATTGGTTTAGGAAATTAGACGATCTGGGTATACTCCGCATACCTAGTGTCACTTAATTGCCCAGTGTCATGTAACAACGACACTTAAAATAGGAAATGATAAAGAAAATGAAAAAGAAACTAACTTAACTTTAATGTTGTGGAAAAAAACGCAAATTAATTGGAGTACACGCGCATGAATTCGTATGATAAACTATCAAAACGTTTTGAGAGTTAGGCCCGGGTTCATTTAAAGAACAATATGAAAAAAGGTAAAATTTGTAAAACTTCTTTGAAGTAAACATCCAACAAAAGGCCCTTTTTAAAATAGTAATGTAATGATATAATATAAAGGATGATGATACAATAAACTTTGCACACAATTAGTTAATGCTTTAAAAGGACTGACAAAATATTTTAATAACGCAACAAATCAGTTGAATAAAGTTAAAATGAGTTGAATCATGTGCAATTTTTGTAGACACACCTTTACGTATTTTCGAAACTAAAACTGTTGAGCAAAGGAAAATATTCTCGCCCCATGGGCCGGAGTTTCTCGTCCAGGGCGAAATATTTCAATAACGCCGTAAAATAGTTGAATTAAGTTGAAATGAGTTGAATTTTATGTCATGAAACTTCTAAGAACACCTGTGTGTATTTGGGAAACAAAAACATGAGTTTTGAGCAAAGGTAAATATTCTCGCCCATGGGCCAAACCTTTTTCTCGCCCATGGGCGAAATATTTCAATATTTCTATAAAATCGTTGAATTAGGTTAAAATGAGTTAAATTTTGTGTCACGATACTTGAAAGAACTACATTTATGTATTTGCGAAACAAAAACATGAGTTTTGAGCAAAGGAAAATATTCTCGTCCATGGGCCTGGCCATGGACAGGCCCGTGAGCCTCACTTCGCCCATGGGCGACATAGTGTAAATATTGAGTTTTTGAACAATTTTTTCTTCATTTTGTCTTCCTTAGTATGTTCCAATGAGAACAGCATGTTTAATTTTGTAAATAACTTGGACCGAGACTGGGCAAAGACCGCAGAGTTTCTGGACAATTGGGTTTCCAGAATTCAAATTGGACGTGTTATATTCAAAAGTTTTGCAATGTATGACTAAATCATCTTTTTCAAGTTTTTTTTCATGAAATCGACTTCACCAGTGTTTTTGTTCGCAACATCACGAGCCACAGAAATTGGACTTAAGCTTGAAAGTCTCAATATCGGGTCAACAGGAGAAAATACCACCACAAATTTAATTGGAATACCAGAAATAGAGTTGGTTTCACTCGGAGTGTCTCGGTGCTTGCATATTTTTTATACCATTATGCTTTAATATCCAGCAAATTCAGCGTCCGTAGATAATTTCTTTAAAGTCAAATGGAATTTGCAATATCCTCATCCCCATTCACCTCATTTTCGCAATCCATATTGAAGTTGGGGTTTAAAGCCAACAATAAACTCGCCCAAACAACACTCACGAAAACTGAAACAACAAGTAAGGTGGGGCGAAAACACACATCAAACGACACCAACAGAGTAAGCTAATATTTTATGTCGACAGTAATTTAAACCTACCTTGATATTAGATCCTCATAAATTGACAATATCAAGAGCTGATAATGAATATATGTTGTCAGCTCCTGCTGCCGGTTCATGAGCTTGCCCTTGGGCAGGATGCAATTCATGGAGTGAAAACTTTTCATTATAGCCCCCACCATTATCAGAATCAAAATTCATCCTTTTCTTCCCTGTTATTTTCGAAACCTTTAAAATTTAAGGTTATAGTTGAATAATGAAGAATGGTTTGCCAAAGTTTCACCAAGCTTATTGGCAATTTTAGTTGTTAATAGTGTGCGATGGTGAACTCCAGAATTTGAACCTTTGCCCGTAATCTTTTGAAACATATTCCGAACCTTGGACATGGGTGTGCAGGTATTGATGTTTGATACATAGTTCCTCCAGGTTTGACGTTTTGTCTGTTTAAAAGTATGTCTGGCCTTGGCGCTTGTGATTTTAACGTCATGCAGATTTTGCATGGTAGGATGTCGACGGAAATATTTCCCAGTTTTCTTCCTATTTTTTTCTAGCTTGTTTACAAGCATATAAGTTTGCAAAGGACTTTGGAATGCTTTCGTCTCCAAAAGCATTTAACTCATCTGAAAGTAGTTTTTAAGTACATAGTGTTTGAAATAAAGACCTAATGGCTTTTGTAAAATTCCACCTTGTTGAAGGTGGCTCATCAATGGGATTGATATTAATATTGTTGGAAAATGGTCACTTCCACAAAGGTCATTATGAACCGACCATTCAAATTCGTTTAAAAGACAAGGACAGGAATAGTTAGGAGATTTGAGTTAAGTGGAACAGGGCTATGGATTATGCTCTGCCTTTTGCTATTTTTGTCTTAATAATTTTCTTTCTTTCTTAGTTAGATGAACAATTTCAGATTCTGGTTCAGGTACCGGTTCTGGTGTGTGAGACTCCGCAGTTTTACAGTAGTTGGTTTGGGAGTTGTCACAGAGGAAGATGTCACAGACGAAGCTACGAGTGAAGCTGTAGGGAGTGTTGGACAGACTTGACCCATGTCAGATCAGTCTGGCAGACAATAGAGGCATTAGTAACATCAGGAAAGGGAATGCAGCAGAGTAAGAAAAATTCGAAGTGATTGTAGTCAGAAGGGAAATCAATGCAGCAGAGTAAGACATAGTAGAAGTGATTGTAGTCAGACTTGCAACACTGCAACTCTCTTTGTTCATGCTTAATCTTCAGTTTTTGTTTATTCAAAACATATGGATCAACAACTTCTTTATTACAATTAGGAGCGACGTTTCAGTGTACATAACTTGCTTGATAACGGTGTTAGAACCTACACCGAACGTCACTCCTTGTTGTAATAAAGAAGTTGTTCCTCCATATATCTTATTCTCACTACATCTTTATCAATTTGTTAGTTAAACGAAGTGATTGTCAATGAAAAGCCAATTATTACATTTCTTAACAGAAGTATTGCAACACTAGTATATTGGGAGCTATCGAATTGAGGTAAGCAGGGCGGAAATGATACTCCAAAAGCTGGAACATTTGAAACTTGTCTTCCGGCAGATGCAACAAATTTACAGAATTCAATTGAACTGTTCGATGACTGATCTTGTCTGAACTATCTATATGTCTGATCCGCATAACAATGAGCGAGTTTGCTAAAACGCCGCTTTGAAAGTATTGCAGTTATATGTCGGCTTGATGCGTGGGGAAAGTCCGAAGTGGTGTATACCTTAGACGTTTAACACATCGGTGAAACCAGCGAGCACGGGTAAGGTTTGTCAAGAGGTGCTGACCAGCACAAAAATCTGTCGATTCTGGGATTTGAACCCGTGCATCCCTGAGTGACGAAACTTAAATCGATTAACTTACTTCCCCTTAGACGGCTTGGACCCGTGTTGCTCTGCAAGTTTTAGATTAAGGCTAACATCAAATGCAAAAGTAAATCATTTTAATGTGATTGTAGATTTTCAAGTGTTTTTCTAATAATTTCAACACGATAAAAACTTCACAACAGCTGAAGTTAGATTCAACATCCTTATCTCTGACACCATTTCCAGCTTTTTTCATACCTTATTTAAAACAAATACTTTCTGGGTGTCAAGGCAGACAAACTAAAACTTGTAAAAATCTTCGTGTGAAAGTAGGGCCGAGGTCTGCTGCCAAGTTCTGATCTGCCTTGTGCATTGGTAAGACAATGGACGTTGACGTCAATACAGGTTTCCATAAAAGATCTAAGATGTCGATCTGTCTGGAATACCGTTGGTCTAAAGAGGCGACCTTGCATATCCCTGCACGAATATACGCGATACACATCTATTGAAAAGTTGAAAGAAAACTTCAGTACAACACAATATAAAGCAACAATTGAAATTAATCTTTGATCTAACATATTTCTTAATCAAACGCCCTTTCTGCACCAATCACAACACTGAAATGACGTCACCTCTTTATATATTGTGTGTATAAATAAGCAGATATAGTTACACTAGTAAAGTAAGCAGGTTAGAAGCACGTCTATCATGAGGTCACCTATAACGTGGCTCTGTCTCTTCCTCCCTCTGGGTGTGCCTGTATTGGCCGTGCTCCGCTACAACCATGAGGCCCTGACCCCACCCACAATCGGATTCGGTAGGGGAGAGGCAGGGGATCGGATCAAGCACGGTATGTTAATTAATATTCATCCGAGGTTATATCCGGGGCTGATAACAGAGGGTCGTCTTACAGTAGGTTGTATCGGGGTTGATACAAGAGCGTCGTCTTACAGTAGGTTGTATCGGGGTTGATAAAAGAGCGTTGTCTTACAGTAGGTTGTACCCGTGGTTAATACAAGGGCGTCGTCTTACAGTAGGTTGTACCCGTGGTTGATACAAGGGCGTCGTCTTACAGTAGGTTGTACCCGTGGTTGATACAAGAGCGTCGTCTTACAGTAGGTTGTATCGGGGTTGATAAAAGATCGTTGTCTAACAGTAGGTTGTACCCGTGGTTGATACAAGAGCGTCGTCTTACAGTAGGTTGTACCCGTGGTTGATACAAGAGCGTCGTCTTACAGTAGGTTGTATCGGGGTTGATACAAGGGCGTCGTCTTACAGTAGGTTGTACCCGTGGTTAATACAAGGGTGTAGTCTTACAGTAGGTTGTACCCGTGGTTGATACAAGGGCGTCGTCTTACAGTAGGTTGTACCCGTGGTTGATAGAAGAACGTCGTCTTACAGTAGGTTGTACCCGTGGTTAATACAAGAGCGTCGTCTTACTGTGGGTTGTACCCGTGGTTGATACAAGAGCGTCGTCTTACTGTGGGTTGTACCCGTGGTTAATACAAGGGCGTCGTCTTACAGTAGGTTGTACCCGTGGTTGATACAAGAGCGTCGTCTTACAGTAGGTTATACCCGTGGTTGATACAAGAGCGTCGTCTTACAGTAGGTTGTATCGGGGTAGATACAAGAGCGTCGTCTTACAGTAGGTTGTACCCGTTGTTGATACAAGAGCGTCGTCTTACAGTAGGTTGTACCCGTGGTTGATACAAGAGCGTCGTCTTACAGTAGGTTGTATCGGGGTTGATAAAAGAGCGTCGTCTTACAGTAGGTTGTACCCGTGGTTGATACAAGAGCGTCGTCTTACAGTAGGTTGTATCGGGGTTGATAAAAGATCGTTGTCTAACAGTAGGCTGTACCCGTGGTTGATACAAGAGCGTTGTCTTACAGTAGGTTGTACCCGTTGTTGATACAAGGGCGTCGTCTTACAGTAGCTTGTACCCGTGGTTGATACAAGAGCGTCGTCTTACAGTAGGTTGTACCCGTGGTTAATACAAGGGCGTCGTCTTACAGTAGGTTGTACCCGTGGTTGATACAAGAGCGTCGTCTTACACTAGGTTGTACCCGTGGTTAATACAAGGGCGTCGTCTTACAGTAGGTTGTACCCATGGTTAATACAAGGGCGTCGTCTTACAGTAGGTTGTACCCGTGGTTGATACAAGAGCGTCGTCTTACAGTAGGTTGTACCCGTGGTTGATACAAGAGCGTCGTCTTACAGTAGGTTGTACCCGGGGTTGATACAAGAGCGTCGTGTTACAGTAGGTTGTATCGGGGTTGATAAAAGAGCGTCGTCTTACAGTAGGTTGTACCCATTGTTGATACAAGAGCGTCGTCTTACAGTAGGTTGTATCGGGGTTGATAAAAGATCGTTGTCTAACAGTAGGTTGTATCGGGGTTGATACAAGAGCGTCGTCTTACAGTAGGTTGTATTGGGGTTGATAAAAGAGCGTCGCCTTACAGTAGGTTGTACCCGTGGTTGATACAAGAGCGTCGTCTTACACTAGGTTGTACCCGTTGTTGATACAAGAGCGTTGTCTTACAGTAGGTTTTATCGGGGTTGATAAAAGAGCGTCGTCTTACAGTAGGTTTTATCGGGGTTGATAAAAGAGCGTCGTCTTACAGTAGGTTTTATCGGGGTTGATAAAAGAGCGTTGTCTTACAGTAGGTTGTACCAGTGGTTGATACAAGAGCGTCGTCTTACAGTAGGTTGTACCCGTTGTTGATACAAGAGCGTCGTCTTACAGTAGGTTGTATCGGGGTTTCTAAAAGATCGTTGTCTAACAGAAGGTTGTATCGGGGTTGATACAAGAGCGTCGTCTTACAGTAGGTTGTATCGGGGTTGATAAAAGAGGGTCGCCTTACAGTAGGTTGTACCCGTGGTTGATACAAGAGCGTCGTCTTACACTAGGTTGTACCCGTTGTTGATACAAGAGCGTTGTCTTACAGTAGGTTTTATCGGGGTTGATAAAAGAGCGTCGTCTTACAGTAGGTTTTATCGGGGTTGATACAAGAGCGTCGTCTTACAGTAGGTTTTATCGGGGTTGATAAAAGAGCGTTGTCTTACAGTAGGTTTTATCGGGGTTGATAAAAGAGCGTTGTCGTACAGTAGGTTTTATCTGGGTTGATAAAAGAGCATCGTCTTACAGTAGGTTGTATCGGGGTTGATAAAAGAGCGTCGTCTTACAGTAGGTTGTACCCGTGGTTGATAAAAGAGCGTCGTCTTACAGTAGGTTGTATCGGGGTTGATAAAAGATCGTTGTCTATCAGTAGGTTGTACCCGTGGTTGATACAAGAGCGTTGTCTTACAGTAGGATGTACCCGTGGTTGATACAAGAGCGTCGTCTTACAGTAGGTTGTATCGGGGTTGATAAAAGAGCGTCGTCTTACAGTAGGTTGTACCCGTGGTTGATAAAAGAGCGTTGTCTTACAGTAGGTTTTATCGGGGTTGATAAAAGAGCGTTGTCTTACAGTAGGTTTTATCGGGGTTGATAAAAGAGCGTTGTCTTAGAGTAGGTTTTATCGGGGTTGATAAAAGATCGTTGTCTATCAGTAGGTTGTACCCGTGGTTGATACAAGAGCGTTGTCTTACAGTAGGATGTACCCGTGGTTGATACAAGAGCGTTGTCTTACAGTAGGTTGTATCCGTGGTTGATAAAAGAGCGTCGTCTTACAGTAGGTTGTATCGGGGTTGATAAAAGATCGTTGTCTATCAGTAGGTTGTACCCGTGGTTGATACAAGAGCGTTGTCTTACAGTAGGATGTACCCGTGGGTGATAAAAGAGCGTTGTCTTACAGTAGGTTTTATCGGGGTTGATAAAAGAGCGTTGTCTTAGAGTAGGTTTTATCGGGGTTGATAAAAGAGCGTTGTCTTACAGTAGGTTTTATCGGGGTTGATAAAAGAGCGTTGTCTTAGAGTAGGTTTTATCGGGGTTGATAAAAGAGCGTTGTCTTACAGTAGGTTGTACCCTGGGTTGACTGAAGATGTGTGATTACATGTTCTGTGTGTAGCCTCCGAGCAGGAAGCATGGAAACAGGTGTTGTCCCGACTGGATCAGCTGGAGGAATCACAACAACGCAAACGCTCCACATACGGTAAACTAACTGTAAAAGTTCCTTGTGAGGAATACTCTTAAATCTTGCTGGTAGATTGTTTGCAATTTACTTACATGTGTTGGTTGATCGTTTGCTGCATATATTAATAGAGTGAGTAAGTGAGCGAGGATGGTTTTACGCCGCTTTTAGCAATTTTCTAGCAATATCACGGCTGGGGACACAAGAAATGGATATATTAATATAACCGATGGTTAGTAAGTGGCTTGTATTTAATATTACTTATACAACCCATGGTTAGTAGATGGCTTGCATTGAATAATCACTAATAATCCATTATTGTTTGCCATTAAAGTATGCAACTCATGGCCATTACAAGTTAGAGCCGACGTATATAGGACCTGGCTGAATGTATCCTCGCAACCGATGAAGGGGGCGTGGCTTATGCTGTCACTAACCCTTTTATCTGGTCCAGACACAATCATTAACAAGCCGATGTGATGAAGCTGGAAGATTGCTGACTGGGGCATGAAACAAATTCACCCATTCATTTTGGACATACCACTCATACAAATATAACACTATTTCTGACTCCAGACCAAGCCGAGGAAGACCTGAAGTCTTTGAGAGTGGATGTAGACAGCCAGAGCAGCAGCATGCGTATGTATGCACTACACAGTGAAACCCGCTACTCCGGACACCACACATTCCCGATATATACATAATAAAGTCCGGTTTAACGGGGTTTAACTGTATATCATTATTCCCACACTACATGTTCACCAAACAATGTTTCACCGCTACGACTATCGGAAGAGTGACGATTGTCAGCGCAATGTTCGTTTGTTTGACGACGCTCAGATTTTGTTGCCTCCGTTTTAAGGATTTCCATATTGGACAAAGTCATATTTATGTCTAGTATGCAAATCAACAAAGACCATGGTTGTTCAGAACACGTGGACAATATTTCCATATACACGTGTATGTGCGGCTGTAGGGACCCCAACTTGACTTAAGCATATCCATAAGAGAACGCGCCTCCGCGCACTTTCCATTGAATCTCTAACCGTTAGAGGTGAGGTGAAATTGGGTTTAACGTCGCGTCCAAGATTATTGCACTTATATAGCGACGTGCATGCACGCGCGTGTGTGTGTGTGTGTGGCTGCTTGTACTAGTCCGGACTGATGCCGATTTTTAGTGCTAGCCCACTGAGATACCATGCCACAGTTTAACCTGAATACCCAACTCAGACACAGTATACTGACTCCGAGCCGACCAGACCTTGTTTTAGCCCCTTAATGCCGAGCACCAGACAGGGTAACAACAAGTACCATGTTTTAAGGTCTTTTTTTGGTATGACCCGGCCGGGGATCGAACCTCGGACCTTCCGCTCTCCGGGCGGACGCTCTACCACTAGATCACGGAGGCGGTCCTAACCGTTAGAGCTCAGTCAGAAATTCGCATTGCTTTGGCTGATAGCCGTCCTTCTAAGTTGAAGGTATGGCGTAAGGTATGGCGTTGTATGGTTTCAGTGAGAATGGATATGTTTGCGGAGACGATGCTACAACGTTTGCTGGTTTTGGAAAGCAAACATAAAGGCGACAACACAAGGAAAAGGATTGAGCAAGGTATGCACATCTGATTTATATTACATACGATCATTATCATTACTCCTTTCAGTTTGCTTTAGAATTTGTCAAGATGCATGGCAAAAAGGAAGTCTTGTCTAATAAGAGTCCTCATCTTGCCCAAAACCGGACAGTAACCCCAACACATAGCCGTGCCTAACGCTGTCGCTGTCCTGGGTCCAATGGGGAACCGGATGTAGAATACATCGCGCGCATATGAACAAGCATACGGTTCCCTTGGCCATGAGTCATTTGCCATCACTGGCTTTAGTCTCGCCCTTTGGCGCCGCGTTGTACACGCGCCGTTTGTAGAAGTCCGTGATGCTCACAATGCAACATATTGCCTTGTCTCTCCATGACACTCGCCCTGGATCAATTGAACATAACTGGATATCACGTAGGGAATCATAGGCTGTACAGAACTTCAAGCAGTTCGTTAAATGATTTAGGCCAGTGTATACAATGAGGAGGCCACGACGAGGCGTTGTATTCATGATCAGGAGGGCGCATGCGCAGCTGGCTTAACGTTTTGAAAATCTCTTTTCTTTTAGCTCTTTGAGGAACCCATTTGACATGTATGGCTATCTGTTGTATACGCCTCGCCGATTTTCGGAGTAACAGTTGTTTTACATCTTGGCTACTGTCGGAGTAGCTGCTGTATAACCTTGGGCTATCGTCAGGGTATCTGTTGAAATATAAGCCTGGGCTACTGTCGGGGTGGCTGTTGTTTAAATCTTGGCTACTGTTCGGGTGTCTGTTGTATGAACCTTGGCTACTGTCGGGATAAATGCTGAATGAACCTTGGCTACTGTCGGAATAACTGCTGTATAAACCTTGGCTACTGTCGGAATAACTGCTGTATGAACCTTGGCTACTGTCAAGGTGTCTGTTGTATAAACTTTTAAGTCTAAGATGCAGTTGATGTAACTGTTGTTAAAAATGTATTGGCGGCTTTCGAAGTAATTACTTATTAAGCCTGGGCTACCATCGGGATATCCGTTGTATAAAAAAACCTTGTGCTACTGTTTTCGTAACATTTTAATAAGCCTAGGCTACTGATTTGTTAACTGTGGTATAAACCTAGGCTACTGTCGAAGTTATTACTTTATAAGCCTGGCAGGTCATCGTATCCCAACTGCGTAGATGGATGCTCATAATGTGAGTCATTGGATTGTCTTGTCCAGACTCGATTATTTACAGACTGCCGTCATATAGCTGGAATATTGCTGAGTGCGGCGTTAAACAACAAACAAATTTAAGCCTCGACTACTGTCGGGGTACTAATAGTAGGAGCCTTGGCTACTGTTGGGGTAACTACTTTATAACACTGGGCTAGTGTTGGGGTGACTGTTTATTAAGTTGATCAAAATAAATGATGTTGCTTTTAACCTCATGGCTCTTACAGATCAAGCTAGCAATGATAAACCTACTAAGGATTTCCAGCAAACATCGAAGCAGCCCGCTGATGAGAACAGCAAAGTTTCGGATATCGGGCAACACACATCGAAGAAAGCGGTAGACGATGTAGGTCAAGAGCCGGAGAAAGCAAAAGGTAGGTACGAGAAAAACAGGTTTACTGTTCGTGAAGTGCAATATTGTCTCATTTTCATATTTACTGAACTGCCAAAGACACCATCTTAATGTAAGAACCAGTGCTCAAAAGCCCCGCGACACGCTATGCTAAATTGTGTACCTTTATCGTGCCAGGATCTGCTGAGTCTCAGATACGTACTTCAAACTTTTGCACTCAGCTGTGCTGAGGTACTTGTCCAACAGACCCGGAAAGATCCGGGGTAGAATAGGTCTTCAGCAACCCATGCTTTCCGTAAAAGGCGACTATGTTTGTCGTAAGAGGCGACTAACGGAATCGGATTGACAGTATCGCTGACTTGGTTGATACATGTCATCGTATCCCAATTGCGTGGACCGATGCTCATGATGTTAATCACTAGATTGTCTGGTCCAGACTCGATTATTTACTGATCGCTGTCATGTAGCTGGAATATTGCTGCGTGCGGCGTTAAACAACAAACAGACAAACTGTCCATGTTTCCTATTGTGTTTCAACAATTACGACACACTCGTCGCCCCTTCCACAATTCGCCTTTCTACAGCTAAAATACTGTAGATAGCTACCTAAATATTGTTGAAAGCGGAGGAACAACAACTCACTCACTAACACCTTGCAGAATCCCCAATCTGTTTGGCGACGGCACCCCCACCACGAGATAGCGCCAGCGTCGATATAACCCTCACAGACACTGGTCGTGTTGCCAAGTACACGTGCAAATCTGGTTCTTTCAACATCGGCGGTGACGTCTTCACATCTACGTGCGACGCCGCCGGGAGTTGGTCACAAGTCGACATTTCCTGCAACAACCGTGAGTTTTGTACAGTAAAACCACGTTAATCCGAACAATAACGGTACCAGTGAAAAACCGAATATCTGGATTAACGAATAATTGTAGAGTAGTGTTAGCCCTGTGGCAATAGAGGCGTTCCATAAAGTAAAGACGGGTGTCTAATCTAAAGAGTGACTATGCTCCGCAAAGTTCTATATTCCGATGAAGCGGCTGTAACGTATACTGAGGCATACTCTCGGTAATGATTAACTCCGACACTGGAAAACGTTTGAATTGCGTGAATCAAATTTGCTGGGGACCCCAATCTGATTTGACGGTTCTGTATTCAGTTTAACATCTTGGATCACAGGATAGTTAGACGTTGAGCCATATATTAGTCTTTATTTCATTCCAACGGACTTGCGTGTCGTCGTACCCCGATGGCAAGTGGCGTTGTCAATAATATCAACCCCTGGTTTGTCTGGCCCAGACTCGATTATAGCTGTCATGTAGCTGGGATATTGCTGAAAGCGGTATTAACCCATGTGAATGATAATCTCCTTTTCTCGATATATGAAGATTATCTTCTTGTCTATATCAATAAATGATTATCCTATATGAATATTATCTTCTTGTCTAAATACGAATATCATCTTGTCTGTATATGAATAATATCTTCTTGTCTCTACATGGATATTGTCCTCTTGTCTCCATATGAATATTATCTTCTCTATTATAAGAATATTATCCTCTTCTTGGCAGTCACCACATGCTATCATCAGAAGGGGGGCAGGCGATTGTATGGTGGGACGGAAGCAACCACCACGTCAGGGCGCACCTGCCAAAAATGGGACAGATTAAAGCCGCACAGTCATCCATACGAGAGTATTTCATTTTCCCATACGTCCTTGGCTGGTGCTGAAAGCATTATAGAGGTCGCCAACTACTGTCGTGACCCAGGAATGATGCATGGGTCGGGGAAGCTATGGTGCTACACAACCAACCCTCACAAACGCTGGGAGGAGTGTAACATCCCCAAGTGCACGACGACATGAGCTTGTGTAACATCCACGAGTGTACCTTGACCTGAGCCGTCAACTCGGGAATATCGGAATAATAAAACTTTGTTGTCTGATGACAGTATGTGTCTTCTGTTCAAAGCAATTAGATTGTATCTACTACCTCGTGCTGAAACATTTTCCAAATGCACGCTCTTACTGCTATTTGTTGATTCCCAAATTGAAACACGAAGGTTAACCCTGAACGCTCGCAATAAAGTTAAAGCCACAAATACTAATATTGTACCCGTCCTTTCATATTCTTTTGGTGTTTTTGATTGGAGGAACTTCACGGCATTAACACCCTCACACGAAGAATCATATCAGACAATAGATCCAACCACCCTCGCTCTTCCCTCAATCGCTTATATTTACTAATCATTATGGGGGGGGGGGGGGGGGGGGTTGATGATTCTCTTGTGAAGCACCTCAAGACTCATGGTGAAAATAAGGCATTCCACAGTTTCCGTAAACGAGCCAAGGATGTGGTACATATTCTCAATGTCAGTGATGCTTTTGTTGATGGTTCTGTACTGCTGGACGGTACAGAAATGAGTGTCAACCAAGCGCCATATCATATCGGCTATCTGAACGACCACTGCATCGAGATTACATACAGTGTGTTGAGAAGCTCAGCAACCCGGCAGAGTCCTTCGCTTGGATGAGGTCGGCTGGCCTGAAAAGTGAAACAGAAGGCTTTCTGTTTGCTACTCAGGTCCAGTCACTTCTCACTCGAAACCATCAATGTTTGCATCAAAATGTAAGTATGAAATGTAGATTATGTAATGGATTTAATGAGACTGTCCAACACATTGTCAGTGAATGCCCAGCTTTGGCACAAACAAAGTGTCTTTAGCGACATGATAGCGTGGCTCGAATCGTTTTATTACCGTCTTCGCCATGCTTGTGGTTTTTAAACAGAGGTCCATCCATGGTACGACCAGGAATATTTAGAGGGCGTCATGGAAAAAGAGAAATACAAAATCCTTTGGAATAGGGTCGTATACAGCCTAAGACGTATCCAGGCCAACAAACCTATCTTGTCCTTTTGGATAAATCCAATGAAATCATTCATATTTTTTAATTTTCTGTCCCTCTTGACACTAATGTGAATGACAAGATTCAGGAAAAACATGGCAAATATGCGGACCTCGCTTTCGTAATGTCACGCTTGCATCCCAAGTACCAAGTTGTCCGCTTCCCCATTGTTCTCGTTGGCTTAGGTTTGGTACCTCCCAATCTGTTGACTGACATCGGGAGAGTACCCGGATTTGCTTTCAGGAATACAGCCCTTCTGACAATCTGGGTGATGCAGAAGGCTGCAGTGTTTTGGAGTCTTTACATTCTCCGAAAGGTTCTGGGTGGGTTTGACTAGGCAGCGCTTCCTGGGCGAAGTTCAATCCGCTGTCTGGTTGGCGAGTTGAGGGGGCAATGGCCCTGAGCTGAGTCTAACTTGCCAGGATCACACAAACCCTCTTTTGCTGCATCTATTAATTGTAATCTGTAAATAACAATAACGTTCCATCATAAACACTCCTGCAGTTTCAACATTCACTGTCTCAGGAAAGCCTTGAATTCATAAAATTTGTGGTAGACATATGAAGGACATTTCCAAATTTGACGCATCAGTGACGAAAATGACGTCCAATGCAATTCCCTATTTTGACTAACCATATGTTACCGTGATTGTTTAAGGTGAACTATTTACTGCCTTCAAATGTGTTTGTGACGGGTTCACCTTTTCGAGGCACCTAGAATCATTACTTTTTGACAGCGATTCATAAACTCATGATATAGTTTAAATCATTCAATTTAGCAGAGATGTCTTATGATAATGGAAAAGTTTTTGTCGCTTTTATTTACGCCACGGTCAGCAGTAGTCCAGCTTTATCACGGCGGGCCGTAAATAAACGACTTTCTGCATGGTAAACCAGGGGTTGACAGCATCAGCATCGAATCAACGATCCACACTGTCTTGCATCCAATTTCGCATTGCGACCATTTGATCGTCGTTTAAGTCGATATTTTATGTCAACAGTACCACACCCTGAATAAAGCATTTGGGGCGGTGGACTAACCTACATCTACTGACTACATGGATACCATGTCTGAAATCTATCTGTGGTGTGACCCCAGTCGTGATATTAGTGAAACATTGCAACACGCGGCTTGAACCCATTCTCACTCACTCACTCTTAAATGATCTATGACTTTTCTACTTAATAAAGTATCTGTAGAAAGCGCGTATGAAGACAATGTTTGAGTAAACCGCCTCATTTATCATATAGTGCAAAATTATTTACAGTCATGTTTGTCTACAGAAACACCCATATATTAGGAAACAACTGCCTAAACGTATTGGGAATATCAGATTATAACTTATTGATCAAGCAGACGTAATAGAGCTCCAAAGTAGTTCCTGCTAGGCGATCTCATTTGCATATTTATGGGATCGTGATACCAAGTTTATCGGATCTTTTGTCGCATTGACAATACTCCATTATACCATATTGCAGCTACTTGTTTTCATTGTATTACCAACAGAAAAAAAACAAGTAAGTGATTGTAAGGCCTTTTGACATTCAAAATTATTACTTTCAGTAAAACATTCTGCTTTAGAGAATGAATAAAACTATCAAAAATGAAACTAATTAATAAATGAATTACTGAATGACTAAAGAGTAAGCCTGCACGGTATTACCAGTAAACCGTGAAACAGAACTTCATTGTTTGTTTTGTTTATTTGTTGTTGAACGCTGCACACCGCAATATTCCAGCTATAAGTGGCGGTCAGCAAATAATCGAGTCTGGTCCAGAAATTCAGTGATTGACATCATGAGCATCGATCCATGCAATTGGGAAACGATGACATGCATCAACCAAGTCAGCGAGCTTGACCACCCGATTCCGTTAGTCGCCTCTTACGACAAACCCAGCATGGGTTGCTGAAGACTTATTCTACCATGAATCGAGAAAATGCACGTTTCTGATTCTTAAGTGTCCATTAAGTCAAGTTGAAACATTTCAGCTTGTTTGACGGCCGCATCACCGCGGAAGCTAATATTCATAAAAAAAATACTTTTTTCAGTCTTGTCGGTAGGCATATTTATTTAATTATATCTACAATTATAGGTTACAAAATGCCAAGTTGCGGTTACTACAATATTAAAAGGACGTGTGACAATACAATTAGAGCAGAAAACACGGCTTAAATCTAGAAAGAGAATGTATTTTAAGTTTTGGGGAAAACAGAGAGCTTGAAATTTGGCGCTTTTCTATATAAGACTATGACGTCATACCTTTTGCGTTTGATCAATAAAGAAAAAAGGTAAGATGTTCGTGGAACAACTAGTCTTGATGGAATAATACTAGTACGCACTGCTAGTTGGCACTGTGTTCCTCAATGACTGACCTCCCCGATTACAAAGTCACCCTCAACAAGAGAAAGAAAGAAGGACCGTTCGAAGAAATCAGCAGTATGTTCAAGACCAATATACTGCAATCCATGTCACAATACACACCTAAGTATTGCAATGCATTGCAATAGATTACTTCAGCCAATACATCCCTAATGATAAGGATGACACAATAGCGGGTATCCATAGTAACACGTACAAGTAATACTTCAAAAGTGCAACTGAGAAGCAGTACTACGAGCACTACAACCTTGCCCTGATGGTGAGGTGAGGTGAGGTGAAATGGGGTTTAACGTCGCGACCAAGATTATTGCACTTATATAGCGACGTGCATTCACGTGTGTGTGTGTGTGTGTGTGTGTGTGTGTGTGGCTGCTTGTACTAGTCCGGACTGATGCCGATTTAAAGTGCTAGTCCACTGAGATACCATGCCGCAGTTTAACATGAATACCCCACTCAGACACAGTATACTGACTCCGAGCCAACCAGTCCTTGTTTTAGCCCCTTAATGCCGAGCGCCAGACAGGGTGACAACAAGTACCATGTTTTAACGTCTTTTGGTATGACGCGGCCGGGGATCGAACCCCGGACCTTCCGCTCTCCCATTAGACCACGGAGGCGGTCTTGCCCTGATGGTGTGAACATGAACATGAACACGAGCGTTGTAAGGTTCCACTAACATCGTGTGCACGTACGCGTTGTGATCACGCCTTCAGGTCAATGAAATTTTTTTGAGTGAGTGAGTGAGTGAGTTAGTGAGTGAGTGAGTGAGTGAGTGAGTGAGTTGGGTTTAGCGCCGTTACAGTATTGCAGTCATATCACGGCGTGTCAGCTTAATGTGGGAGGAAAACCCGAAGTGATGCAGCTCTCAGACTTGTACAGCTTTGACGAGATTCACCAACACGGGCATGGTTCTGACAAACCTAGAAACAAAATATGGGCGAATCTGGGATTCGAAGCCATGATCATACGTTTCTTGCGTGTCCAAAACAATCTTGTGTCGACAAGGCCGAAATATACCATTCAAAATAATTAACGTCTTTTGAGAAGCATATAACTGTTTATATCTCGAGTTCGCACACAAACTACTACTAGTCAATTTTTCAACTAACGAGCACTCGGAGAAGGCCAAAAAGGCCGTCGTTTTTTAGAGCGCTTGTGTCACAACGGACGCATAATGCTATATCTTGGGCCACATCTTAGATACTTTGATTTGAAGGCTTGAACCTGCTAGTTGTGATAGTCACGTGATCCGGAGGGTGACACGGGATGGCTGGATGTTTGCGATCCTTGTTTTCTAGCTTAAATAATCGCACTGCACACACGCCACAACATAGTGCATCAACACGACTCAGCGAGACTCGGGCTGGTGATTGCTTGTCAGTCCTTCAACTCAGACGTGCACAAACAAAGCACGCCGACACCGCTGTCCGCCACGTTTCATGTCCAGCCATGTTTACAAGACGTCCCTGGTGAAAGCGAAGATATAGTTCAGTTATTGTGATGCCACACCCTTGCTGTTTCAAAGTGTGAGACGGTGCGCGCTGGGTAACGAAGGCGGTGCAGTTATTGTGATTCCAAACCCTTGCTGTTTCAAGTGTGAGACGGTGCGCGCTGGGTAACGAAGGCGGTGCAGTTATTGTGATTCCAAACCCTTGCTG